ATGAAGTACTGGGCTCTATCCAATACGAACAGGCGCAATCCACCACTCAATAGTTGAATATACCATAAGGCTGGGGCAATTGCTTCATGGTTCTCGGATGGTAGTAGTCTCTATGTAGTATGATAAGTCAGCAAGCAATAGCCGCTCAACACTTTCCACTTACCACCCAGTGAGAAGACGTCCAGAAAGCCCATCCAATATGTTGGGTAGGACGGTAAGTTCTCGTCAGACTACTGTCCGGAGACCCACAGACGGAGTCTCCGTAAGATAAGAACCACACACGCCTAGCTCTAGCTATCTGGCAGATCACACATTGCTTACATAAGCAACGTGAGTCTGCAAGTAGCGCTGGAAGACGTAGATCATATACCGAGGCAGCAGTAGCATCCGGGCAAGCACGACCGGTCTGGCGATGGCTCGAGCGTAAAACGCATCTTCTACACACCGTGCTAGACCGAGGAACGATCGGTTTGTATACAACACAGCCATCGGGCTCTCGTGTAAGGAAAACCAAAGCTTCAACAGTTGTTGCTGAGTCAGCAATGCTGACAGAATATAGGGCCACATGGAGGTAAGGTACTGGGGTTATAGAGTGGGACAGACATTCGTGTCACATGGCACAATCCGGCTCAGCAACTCTCTTAACAATCGTGATCACTGAGTGTGAGCCAGAATCCTTGTCGGAATCATTTCCAGAATCGCATACTGAACTCCAATTTCGTATTCATTGAACACATTCCCGGAATGATTCTGGACGATTCTGGCAGAATCACATTTCCAATTAGACTCAGAAGCACAAAAGAACCCTGTTCACGGTCGGTGCATTCAGCAGCCTAGTGACATTCAATACTGGTCTACTGGAGAGCACCCATTTCGTCACACCCCCCAGTTGGTCTCACCCAAACGCTGCCTATACATAAGGAGACGCTGACGAGCTGGAACAGCAATCCAGAGAGCAATCCTAAAGAGAATAGTAATGACAACTGTCGACTCGATAGTGCAGACCTCTATAAGTATCGTCATGAAAGTGGTAGGCCGCGATGTTCGATAACAACGGGCCGAGAACGCCACCAAGGGACACCTGCAGTACACTGAATTGTTACGCTAGACTCGTGATCCTTACTAGACTCGTAAGACTCCTCCAATTCACGGGATCCATTTGTTTTAATATCACCGGTATGGCCACGGTTTGAAATGGGTAAACGAAAACGTTAGTGAGCATCGTATTGAAGACAAGCATCTGGCAATGCGAAGCTGTCTCGACTGGTCGGAAGTGGCTTCCCACTCCAAGTAGTGGATCCTTTAATGCCCTGAGGCCCTCAATGAGTTGGTGTAAAAGGCCCAACCTATTCCGTCTGGACTTATGCGCTGGTTCACCTGCACAACCGATTTGATTAGATGGAGTGTTGACGGTGAAAAAACAGCAACGGTTGTTGCTACCATGGATCCGTACGGAAGCTTTTACACTTGCGACCAGTAGGAACAATAGAATGCTAAAGGGAACTAAGACGCTGAAGTCATAGTATCTAAGGCGAATACAGATGAGGCGTATATCTGCAAAAGACCACCGACATTAGAAAAAAGCTGACACCGAACGGAGCAAGGTAACGGCCAATCTTGTCGCCTGTGAGTTCGAAGGAGTTCACTATTGGCAACTCTGAAGGTACCTCTACCACCTGGGGATAAGAACAATGAGGAGCAGTAGCAGAGTGCTTCCTTACCAAAGGAGGTAAGCTCTTGCCAATAGGACCAGAGAACGCCATGGCCACCCCTAGAGCTAGGTTAGTCATGGACAGGAATTGTGGTAACCCGGGAGAACCTGGGAAATAGCGATACAACTCGTCCGAGTGTGCATGCAGATCCACCTAGCCATAGGATTGCTATCACAAATGCTATTATAATGTCCATAATAACCTGATAGGTATCTCTGACCAGAAGGTGGGTATCAGGCTAGGCTTACATACGTCATCCTGGGCGGAGCGTTGTCAGTTAGTATACCTGCTACTTGTGATGATACTGTTCCTGAATGTAATGGAGTGTTAGTTGTTGTAGATGACTACTAGTAGACGTACGAGTTATATTCTGCCACATTTGTGAGTTAGCATAGCTTCTAGCCCCTACTGCTTCCAAGGTCTCATATCGTACTGCTGTGGCTAAAACAGATATTGGAGTAACACTTCATGATGGTGATGGGATTGGGCTCACTCAAAAACATGTGAACGGCTCTCGAGAGGAACTG